TAAATGAATTTTTAAACTGTTATAATTATATCAATATAACAAGAGAATTGGAAAATTTAGAAAGAATTATATGAAGCTTCAAGAATATCCTTGTTTAAGCTATATAAGTGATAAACTTATAAATCAAATTTTCGTAATGTGATTTCAGTAAAAAGCATGAAAATAGAAAGACGATGATTATCTTTATTACAATTTATAAATACATCTGAAATCGAGTGGTAGACTGTATTCTTTTGTTGTGTATATTTAATACTGTTTATAATGAATCAACTCTGCATAACGAATGACCTAGAATAATTTCGAGGATTTTGTGAATTCGGTTTGCTGTGTATCATTTTCATTAGTCTTTAAAATAATAAAGTCATATATACATATTCTATCTAAAAAAAAAATAACTAATGCTAATTAAAAATGGGAATTTCCGATTCACATATAGCCACCGTGCACACTATGTTCATAATCAACGCATAGCGGTCGACAATTTGCAACCCAACCACGACACTTTTTTCCGATTTGTTTGATCTCTGCATTATCTAATCCATTCCCTAGTTTCAAAGCCAATTTTACGTGTCTCGATTTAAAATAATGTACTGTCACCATCTCTAATGCCAATACATAGGACCGGACCAATAATTAATAAATCTTTCTGATATGTGACATTTAGCTTGACTAAAAATAGTTAGTTCCTAATAAGGGTAAAAGTTATAAATATACGTAGTTTTCGTTTTTTCAATTATGTGCTCAGTTCTAAAAATGTACGTATTTGTTTTTAATTTATATATTAGGAAAGAAAAGGTCAGCATAACCAAAAATGGTGGGACTAATAACGCAAATTCGGTTAAGATTAAGGTATTAACAAAGATTATGTATTAGAACACAAGTCAAAATTTTGAGATACATACCACAATACGTATATTATCAAAAATGAATCTGTCATTTTAGAACCCCAATATCTCAAAATCCTGTGATCATATTTTAAATAAAGATATTATCTTAATATTTGCGGATTTGAGACAAATATAATGGGGGCATCTTCATTTTCACTGAAGATCTGGTAACGGTAATATATTTGTTAGCGTTAGTGGAAATGACCCCCCATTTTTGGTAGTGTAGATCATGTAGATCAGTTAATTTGATCACCGAATAATCACATGACTGCACCCTCGATTGATGCAATACAGTCAAGTCCGTTACTAATGGTATCATAATCGTCATAGTTATCTGCGATTGTTATTTCGTATAGTATATGTAACTGCGGTTGTGTGGTCTTTATCTCAACCTCAACCAACAACCAAAACCTCAACCACATGCATGAAAATTATCCCAAATGTGCTGTACTAATGCGGTCGTCGTAACAAACTTGACTGTAGTTTTTTATTAATAGCATTTCCATTAAAATATAATCTTGTTTGTAACACTGTTAATATCCATTCATTAATCGAATCAAATTTTTCATAAAAAATGTTTCTTTTGCGGAAATTTTAGGACTAACTTGGCATGGCGTCACTCTTGTAAAACTACCTGGTTTAAGGAAAACTATTCAAGTTGGACAACTGGCGATTTGCAGCTTGATTCAATTATCACAAGTGGTAATAAAACTATTTTTTCCCCCATATCAAGCCTAAGCCTAAATTTTATTCATAATACCGTATACACCCGAAAATAAGAACCCCTGTGATGTTACCTTTTTTGGTAATTTTTTATTTATCACCCTATACTTTGTTATATTAATTGTCACATTCTTATAATAAAGGTATTATTTGTCATGGAGTGCTTATTTTCGAGAATATACGGTACATTTTTCAAAGAGCAAAATAAGAAAGTTGAATTGTTCAATTATTATCAGTCTGTCTATCTGTGAACTCCCTCCATGCGTGGACAAGTAAAAATAAAAATTGATGAAGTTATTAAAGAAGTTCAACTAGAATTTTTCTTCGAATGGGTTGAATATGAAGATTCGATGAGATAGAATTAATCGCAAGAGGATTTGGGAAATCAGGATATATAATTGGTTTCAATAAAAATTATTTCGAACTGGACCAAGTCTTGTTGCATTAAGATGTTATTCCAATTCAAGCAATGAACTTTGTAATAAATTAAATTAAAATTTTGTTTTTAAATTATATTATTTAAATAAGCATTGTATTTATATAGATTCGGTCTGCCGTCATCAGTAATAGCTTTTGTAATATAACGATAATATAACGAGAATATTTAGAATTTCTAGAGATTCAAAAAACGGAATACTATATTCTGATTCTTCGATTCTTTGAAGACGGTTCACTATATGTAGTTAAAACGGGAATATATTCTACCATTATTCATGTGATCACTTATTTGATTTAACGCGAACTATTACAATTTTTACATGATTGTTAATAGTTCATCCTGATTTACATATACATAATGACAGCATTTTGGAAGGTGTAGAGAAATTACGGATGATGAAGCGTTTGGCATAATATCATCCGTTGTGCCTGAGGTCCTGGAATCCAAAAAATGCACTACAATCTGCGATATTTACTCCTTTTGAATGGTAATTTGGAACGTCCGTTTAATAGTTGTAGTCATGATAACGCATCCTTTTTCGATATTTATGATGGAATTTTTATGATGGAATTCGACCATCTATTCTTGATGTTATGTCAAAATGTTATCGAGAGCTAATGATTCGTTGTTGGGCTTCGGATCCATCGAAACGGCCAATGGCAAGTGAATTCCTTAGTACAATTAGAGAATGGATGAAGAAAATATAGGAATAGAAAATGAAAAGTGTGATTCACAAAAGTAGATCATTCTCAAACATCTGGTAATTATTACTTTTATATTATATTTTATAATGATCATTAATGCGTAATTTATACGTTTATATTAGAAATATATACTAATTTATACGTTTTATATTAGAAATATATACCGTACATCACACAAAATAAATACATTTATAAGCAAATTAGACTTCACTGTCTACTCATTACTATTTATAACAAATTTTAGTTTTCTTTTAAAGTAATTTTCATTTATGCTCGTTGATTCATTTCTTTCTTTAGTTATTCGTCTTTATCCTCATTTTCATGTATTTCCTTCTCTATTCTTATTATATTCAGCTATTTTCTCTTGGCATAGATATTTTCGTAATGTATTTCGTTCTGTTTTTCATTTATGCTCTTCGCTGTATGTAGTTTGTTTCTCGTTATATTCATACATGTATTTTCTTTCGTTATGTATTTCGTTCTGCTTTTAATTCAACAATTTCTCAAAACGTTAGCTAGAACCATTTCTATTTGGATTGTTCGTTTTTGTTATTTTTTTTCCGTCTATCATATTCGTTCTGTTCTCATAATTAAATTCTAACCTTATTTTATTTGTTTACATATCACGTTTATTCTTATATTCATGTTATTCTTTCGCCATGTTATTTCGTTCTTAATTCATCAATTATGTAACAAACCTATCTAAATTCATCATTCTTTTCTTTTCGATTAAATTTTACATGTATAAGCAAGTTACTACATGTACATGTATCTACATATCCATTCCCATAAAAGTTTTTATCAGATATGACGGATTGCGATTTTTTGTGTTACACTAGTTCGGGTTAAGTTAACTAGATTTGGAAAACTACGAATCTAATACATGTGGCTTATTAAAAATACATGTACATGATTTTTTTTACTGTGCATTTTTTAACAGATGCAATGAGGTGAAACATTAGGAGATTAAATTCGAAAATTTTTTAGATTTCTATATTGGTATATATTAACAGAAGACGTTTATACACGTATTAACCAATCTAATCCAATGAAAATCATTATTCCTAATATATCAAATAACGTCATCTAATTAATATATGTATATAAGTAACAATGAAAAGTAGATGTATAACCAATCAAGAATCAACGGCAAAATTTCCATAAAATCATTCAAAACATGATTCGATCATCTATTCCATGGAGAATTTTAAGCATGGCATTTGAGAATAGCGATATAAATTACAGTATTTTCACTATCTACAAAATATTGATGTAACCTCACCATTCGATGAAAATCTAGTCATCTAATTAGCGATTTTAAAGAGAAAAGAACATTGTAAATGGATCGCACAAAATTAGCTCTTAATTGCAAAATATCGGATTTAATCTTGAAGCGAAATACGTTTCCAATTTTAGTTTCAGAGAAATGGAAGCTGAAATCCAAAGCTTATAAAGATCAATTCAAAAAAATGTCCCTGAATTTATTTTTGGCATTTTACAAATCACAACTGATCAAACAAAATCAAAATTCGTCAATACGAAAGGAAGGTCTTCAAAAAGTAATCTTTTTGCGAGAGAAAGTAATTTCAGAAGGTAGATCGGTGTACGATCCGATTAAACTCGAAAACTTACTAATGAACTAAAAACTTTAGATAATTCAGCTAATTTCAAGAAATTAATAATGCTTTTTTAATAATCAAATTCAAGGGTTTCCTCAAAATCCAAACGAATCATCTGATTCACTCGTATTTTTTGATTCGAATTCATTGCATATTCGATTCCTTTGATTCAATTTCCTTCAAATCTAATCATACCACTAATATTATTTTCATCATCAAATTCCTTGCTTCAGGAGAAGTTTGACACTTTTAATAACTATATTGGTTCCAACGAATTGAATTTACTGTATTCCGTATTTTATTAAATAATGTCAGAAGTGAATGTACATCATTTTAGGACAACAAAAAATTTTTATAATCGATTTCAACAATAAGTGGAGTTACATAAGCTGGTTTCTCATCTTTCGTTATTATCACTATTTTATACCTATGCAAAACACATATATACGTATTTTTTAATATGTATTATCAAGAAATTATACAGTCATACGTAATCTCGGAAATTTAAATACAATGAAAATAACATTTTTTATAAACTAAGAAATTACATGTAGTATGTAACTCGAAAAGTGATTTACCATAATCGTTTTCTCATTCATTGTTTCTGTCATAACTCACCTATACATATTAATGTATGGCAATTTAAATAAAATCCAGTCTGAGTTGAGTAATGTTAAACATCGAAAGATATCACTTTTGAGTAGAGCTCATGAAATTTGCTATTTACTCGGGTGCCCTGTTTATAGAAATCACAAAACGAGGTGTAAGAACTTTGAATTTGTCGCATTGGGCTATAAAGGTATTAAATTAAGCATATATAACATAATGAATATATTAAGTTAAATTCGAAGTTAAGTAACAATTGCGATTGTTCATAAATTTATTAATCACAAATATTTACTTGAAATCCTTTAAATACATATATAGAAGAATGTATAATCTCTTTTGTTGACCTTAATTGATTCAATCGTGATCTTCTATTGTTCGTTATGCATAATTACGTTTATCATATTTTTTTAGCAGATTTCTTTGATTCGAAGAGAAAACGATTTCTTCTTCAAAGAAGTGTATCATAAATAAGGTTTTTTATTTCGTAGTGATGAGTAGGGCTCAGCTATTATAATAGCGATATACTAAAAATATCCATCATTTTATTATGCATAGCATTGACGGCTGTTAGGGCGGGCTTATTTGCATCAAAAACGTTTTGACAAACAAAATGCTGTGTATCAAGACACAAATTATCGATAAGTATTATCTAAATTTTGCGAGAAAGGTAAAATATCAATAAGGAAAGGTTAGCTATAGTTGGACTCGTTTAAAGGTCAAAAACAAATTGATTTCACGAATTTTAAATGTCAATAATTTATTTATTTAATTCAATAAAACTGTAAACTGTTATAATTATCTAACTTATTTACAAACTTGATTGACTTATTTTCATATAAATTCAATGTCATAGTCTAAATAATCTGTGCATTTAAATGTCTGGTTTGGCTTTCGTATACATAGGCAGCAGTAAAATCTATAATCATATAGGCAGCAGTAAAAATAATAATCATAAAAAAAGTGATTTTCATGCGTGAATTGCATAATTATTAACGCAAGAAAAAGATTATCGAAAAATTGTATCTATCTTAATGTTATGGAACTTAACAACTAGTGAAACTTACTTAAGAGTAAAAGTAGTCAAGGGAGAACACGAACAAAATCTAATACTATAGTATGTACATAATAAACTCTATGTCGATTGATTGTATCATATGCATAAATATTCACATTAATAATATTAATAAAATGTGTTTACGTACAGATAAGAAAAAAAACTGTGTATTGACTATTCAGAATGCTTGGGCCTAATTAGAAAACGATCACTAGGAGAGGGTGGTCCGTAGTCCAAACCCTCATCATCAAAATATAGATTTTCCGTGTAGTTTTCAATTTGGTCCGGAGATGATTCAGATTTAACCGAAGTTTGCTTATTTATGATTTCGTCAGCTCCATCTCGTTCTAACAAGAATTCTTGTGAGCTGAATTCTTGGTTTTTTGAATTGAGATAATTTGATTTCCTAGCAGCTTTGGTCTTTTTACGAATGACTTTATTACGCATGGTCTCGCTTGTCATTACAGCTGGCCAAAGAATTCGCCTCTTTTTCGCAGGTCTTGTTTCCTTTCTAGTCATAGATTTTGCAATAACTTGAGCTGCATCTCGAAACACGACTTTGGCATCTGCAGGCTTTGTTTTCCAGTTTTTCGAAGCTAGCCGAGAGATCTCCACAGCTTGCAAATTAAGACCGGATGAGTGTAACTCTTTCACCAATAGCTGTCGATATATAAAAAAACTATTTGGTGGCGTGCGACATTCTTTTTTGTTCACATATTCGGTGATAAGCTTCTGCAAACGATCACCTGATGGAGTTGCGACCTCAAATTCGAATATATTATTTTCTACCATAATTATTAAAAGAAAACTTATTGAGTAGTTCAGAAATGGCATACGAACGAATGTCTTATATATAAAACGATATCGAGATGTCGTGTTATGCTATTGCATACTTTGCATAAAAACATGTACTATTATATTATTATTACATGTATATAATCTATATAATAAATACATGTTGATATATGTATAATTGTTTTTTGGATTTTTTGCAAATACGATAATATATATATAAATAATATGCAATCTTGTATCTATAAAACCAAAGAAATTCAAAGCATTTTATTCTACAAATAAAGTACTAAAAAGGGAGTGCGGAAAAATTATAGCATTTTTCGAGATCAGGAAAAACACGATGTTAAAAGAGGTTGTGTGACTTGTATGGAGGCCAAAATATCTTATGCTTCATGGGGGACATGACTGCATAAAAGAAGGGACACGATAGTATTTCTAAAAAAAGTTCCGCTAACATTTTTCCAAAAGAATAGAACTTAAGGACCCGCTTCGTTGAAATTCTTGATTTTTACATTGAACTTGAGAATTGAAATTCACTAAACTACATTAGCATTTATTCTTCTTACATGATTAACTGCCGAGACGATTGTCAATTTGGTCCAGAAACGCATTGCGAAATAATCAAAAAAACCCAAAAGTCATTTTTATAGATAAGGAATCAAAAGGAGTGTAGTGTTTAAGGAAGTTATTAAATATATCAAGAATAACTATAAGTATATTGATTTTTTTTGATTTGATACTGCAAGAACACATGTACAACCCCTCAGCCCAGCCTATATACAGTTTTAATTATCCATGCATGCAAATGTTCATGTATCTGCATGCATATTATTACGATAAATAAAATAAAAAATGTGATGTAAGGAGGCGTATAGTACAACTTTATTACTCTTCGTTGTGTTACGATATCGATATTTATCGGGATGAAGCTTTTTCGATTATGTCATTCTTTTAATAATATACTTAATAAGTGCAATGTCCGAACATCAGTAGTTTACGAGACATGTGATTTAATTCTGAGATTAATCGTTAAATTCTAGTTTAAACATTTCATTAAAATCCTTTTTTTGTATGTATGTATCAAGAGGAAAGGTGAAATACCTAGTTTGTTCATCTAAAATTTGGTTTGATGCATTCTTGTAGTATCGTAAAGTGGATAGGTTTAATATGGTGTGTGATCACATTTAATAATCTGAAATTTTTAACATACACATTTAAAAAACTAATACATGCAATATGGCATGTAGTCGTTCAATTTATCGAATAACATTTTTGATCATCCATCCCACGTTATTTGATTTACATGTACAATCAATTTCCTCGTGTTTCTTCTTGAAATGACGCGCTTGCAGAGGAACGTGCCGACCTGTCATATTAAACCTTTTAACAAACAAGGAATTTTGATATTGATTGGTTTGAGTATTTTATACATGTATTTTTTATTTTATATCTCTTATAGTAAATATACTAATAAGATATTCACTTTTACTTATATAATCGTGTCTATACTAATACTAATGCGGAACATCTAAATCTTCCTGCACATTCACTCAATCACATCATAACATAATTGGTCGAAACAGACAGATTGTCATTTTAGAAGTTATTTAAAAGTCTAAATAAAGCAACTCGAATCTTATTGAACCTTTCACCATAGTAATCGAAATACATTTGTGGCATTACATGCATTGCTATCGATCTCGATTGTTTGATTAAAAATTATGACCTAAGTCACACAATTTGTGTCTAGTTCAGGTGTTATTTTATAGATCTGAAAGCTGTAGGCAACGTGTAAAATTTATTTCTCGCGAGCAATCAACCATCTTTTTTTGTCGATTTATTCTTTCAAATCGAACTAATGTTTTTTTTT